ACCACGATGAGGAACAACAACACGAGCATCATGAAGCACACAGAGCAAGAGGACTACGACAACCGCAGCAGCCCACTCCACAACAAATAGCAGAACACAACTTGACACACCTACCATACAGAAATTGGTGTCCAATTTGCGTTCAAGGCAAAGGACGCCAGGACAACTACAAGAAACAACAATCACGACAACCCATCATCCAAGTGGATTTTGCCTACATCAAATCACAACAAGATCCGAAGACCATACCAGTCTTAACAGCAGTTGATGTTACTACACAACTGTGCATGGCGGTATTGGTTCCGGACAAACCATCAATGATGGACTACATGATCAACAACCTACAAGCATTCATCTTTGAATGCGGAAGAACACAAGGCATACTACAAAGCGACAACGAAGACACACTCAATGCACTACTAAAAGCAACAGCATCTAAAGTCGGCTCAATGACTGTACGACATTCACCATCCTACAGCAGCAACAGTCAAGGAAGCGTTGAGCGACTACATAGAACACTTCTCGGACAAATCCGCGTCGTCAAAGCTCAGGTTGAAAGCAACTACAGCATGACGATGTCCACAAAGCACTGTCTACTACCTTGGATAGTACGACATGCAGCATGGACGGTAAATCGCTACGTCATTCACTCAGACGGCTACACAAGCTTTGAACGCCGCTGGGGAAGAAACTACGAGCGAGCAATCTGCGAATTTGGCGAGACACTACTTTACCTTCCACCACAACACAAGAAACTTCCAAAAGCAGACCTACGGATGCAGAAATGCATCTGGCTCGGAAAAGTTTCCGAAACCGGAGAAAACTACGTCGCAACGGAATCAGGCGTACAAAAGGTACGAACAGTACGGAGACTACAACCGGACTTCAAATACGACCTCGCACTGTTGAACAAAGTTTCCGGCACACCATGGGCACCACGACGGAACACCTACAACCCATCGTTCGCAACACTGTTGGATACGCAACTACAACCGTCAGAGAAAAGAAGGTCCACGCAAGATTTCGGACAACAAACGAACGCTACGGACGACATCGTTGCGGAACCCGCAACAAAACAACAACGCACTACACCACCTCCACGACTTCCGTCAACATCGACGTCAAGTTCACGACCACTACCGGATAGTCCTATGGCTACTTCACCAACCGGACGACAACATCCACCACTACCAGCACCACCTCGACAAACACTACGACGTTTAACTCCGGAAGAAGTAATGCAACCAACTAAAGCACAGAAGACCTCAAAGGACACTACAATCAGATCAACGGAGCAAGCAACCAAAGAACCACCACCACTACGACAGAAAATCAACGCAGTGACACTTCCCAACGGAAAATCCATCACCCCCTACACAAACGACGACACCTCAGAAGACCAACCCATAATCTTCGACAACGAAGGTTACGACGAAACACAACTACTGGAAGGAATGAAACACGAGTCAAACCAAATGAAGCTACATGACGTCTACGACGAAGTAGATGCGTCTACCGTCGACGACAACAACGTCATCAGAGAAGCGATACCTACAAGATGGGTACACAGAAAGAAAGGACCAGGAGTACGAAGCCGAATCGTCGCAAAAGGCTACACAGAGAAGATCGAGGACGAAGACTCCGTCTACGCCTCTACACCAATGTTCACGACACTCCGGACACTTCTCGCACTACAAATGTCACGACCAAACTGGATCGCGCGACTAGGTGACGTCTCTACAGCATTTCTACACGCACCCATCGCAAAAGACCACGACGGTAAACAACGTGACGTCTACCTTTGGCCACCTAAAGAACTTTGTCCACAACAGGACAAAATCTGGCGACTAAAGAAAGCCATGTATGGACTACGCAGTTCACCAAAAGCATGGCAGGACTACCTGGCTGAAGTGCTACAAAAGCTCAGCTTTGTAAGAGTAAAGTCAGAACCTAACGTCTACACCAATGCGACTCGCGACTGCTACATCATGGTCTACGTGGATGACCTCTTGGTACTTGGTGACAAGACTACTGTCGACTCCACCTTCGAGGCCATCCAGAAGCAGGTCCTACTCAAGCACATCGGCTACCTCGAACCTGGCAAACCACAACAATTTCTTGGAAGAAACATCGACCACTTTGGCAACTACTGCAATCTTGGACTAAAGGACTCCTACATCGACAACATGATCGAGGAGTCTGGAATGAACAACTGCAACTCAGTGAACACTCCAGGAATTGCACACTACAAACCAACAATAGAAGATGAAGCACTACTTGACCACGAACAACACAAAAGGTACAGAAGGATTGTTGGCAAACTTCAATGGTTAGCATACACACGACCAGACATTGCATACTCCACAAAAGAACTAGCACGAGACCTCACAGCACCTACAGAACTTTCACAAAAGAGGGTCAAACATCTACTACGCTACTTGCACGGCACCAAGCACTACAAATTCACCGTAGAACCAAAAACAACACTCAGAGCAAACACCAACAACATCCTGGATCTCGACGTTCATGTCGATGCCGACTGGGCAGGATGCCCTACTACCAGGAAATCAACTTCAGGTTTCAACATCATCGTTTTAGGAACAACAGTTGCATTTGGCTCAGCTCAGCAGAGCCTGAACTCTACGCCATTTGCACAGGAGTTAATGAGGGACTACACCTCAGAAACTTCCTACTTGAAACCAACATTTGCAGCAAGCTAAACCTACGCATCCACACAGACTCCACAGCAGGCAAGAGCATTGCTACACGACAAGGCACTAGCAAACGAGCAAAACACATCGACCTTAAATTTCTCTACACACAAGACCTCATCAAGCATGACATCATCAGAATCCTTAAGATCAACACACTCCATAACAGCGCAGATTTGTTTACCAAATACATCAGCAAAGAAACGCTACACAGGCTCATCCAGAGCATTGGAATACGCATTTAGCACTACGAACGACCAGCGCAGCAGTTCAACGACAACAACAACAACAACAACAACAACAACAACAACAACAACAACAACAACAACAACGACTTTGGACATTTCATGTATGTAAGTAGCTACATGTAACACGACACTTTTGGTATGTACGTAACACTAACTACATGTAATTGCACTTGCACTTTTGGCGGCTGAGTCAACACTACAGTTGTTTGTTTTACATGTCTGCATGCGCCGCCTGCCTGATAGCAACTACTCAGGCTCATTTTGTTTTTGCCCCGTTTCACTACATTCGCACTCCACTGCAGCCATGGCCGCTCCATCTACTGCAGATGCTACGATGGGAGATGCGACTACACCCGACAGGGCGTCTACACCGGAGGTGGCTGTCACTACAGACTCCAGCGACCATGGAACTCCACCACCTCAAACATACAACGACTCCAACTACCACTTCAACCATCCTACACCTGGCAACACAGTCTACTACAACCCGACCACAGTGATGGACCAACTACACATCACTGAGCACCAGACAACCACTACACCACCACTGCCCGACACCACACCCTACACACAGTTTTTCACTGCACTCACACTCGAAGAGTATCAACTACTTTCACATCAACAAGCAACTCCACTTGCACAACTGGATTACACACAACCCATCTACTGCATCCCTGGATGGAGACCTTCGGATGCCCCACTACAACTCCACCCTGCTCAGCGTTTCACTACCTGAAGCAGCCAACGTGCACTACTACCATACGACTTCCCTTCACACTACAACCGGCGACAACAACAACTACGTCATCATCCAACTGCAGATTGAACAACCACTACTCCTGAGGTACCTCACTTCAGGAAAATTTATCCACTTCACCAGAAACTACATTTCCTACATGATGTCGGTACAACAGAACTACTACCTCCCAACTACACCACTGCCACAGACCATCTACAAGGTGAACTACAACATGACCATCTTCACCGACAACTACAGCCTCCGGAAAAACTATCTTTGGAACTACCACATGCCACTACTACTACCTGAGCTACTCCACTACCTCTATAACAGAGACCAACTCCACGACTACCAACACAAGGCAATCACTACAATTCTCTGCAAGAGTATCCAGTACTACGGATTTACACTACTCACCATGACAAACCTCACACAACACCACAAGGCACTACTACACCGCTTCCTCAGGGACTACAACCAGCACATGTCATGTCCCGAAATCGACGATGAGCGAGTACGAGGAGCACCAAACTACATGACAACCTTCTTCACCACGCACTACTTTGCGACCTTGGACAGTCGACTACAGAAGGTCCAAGACTACCGCACCCAGAACTGGGGACTACATCTTTGAGCACGTGCTCTACTACAACAACAAGTGCCTGCCTCACTACTTCCGTCCAGCGCACTACATCGAGCTGGAACCTGAACAGCGAGAACTACTGAGTGCAGGTTACTACTTTTGTCACTACAGTAGAATTGATGAACAACAATGGTTTTCATCACTACTGTCAATCCATGTTTTGCACTTCAGTTGAAAAGGTACCACAAAGACCTTTTAACTGAGGGGCCGTGTCAAACTACATGCTTCACTTCCTGCATTTGTGTTGCATGTGCTGCAGGCCTTGAGCTCAGTACATCGCATGTGTAAAAGGTGGATTGCTGCAGACTACAATCGGTTGACTGTTTGTTTGAACACTACAGCACTTGCACTTGGAAGCAAAGAAACCACCGATTTTAACGAGAGAGCGAGAGAGAGAGAGAGAGAGAGAGAGAGAGAGAGAGAGAGAGAGAGAGAGAGAGAGAGAGAGAGAGAGAGAGAGAGAGAGAGAGAGAGAGAGAGAGAGGGAGGAGGGGAGGAGAGGGAGGGAGGGAGGGAGGGAGGGAGGGAGGGAGGGAGGGAGAGAAAAAAAAACAACAAAGAGAGGTGCCAGCTGGTCACAACAAAGAGAGGTGCCAGCTGGTCTCTCACAAAAGAACTTGGCAAGAAGACACACAATGCGATCCCAAGCCGCAGCTGTCCTCAGCCGAGTGCGACGGTTCCGTCGCATCCTCGGGCTCCTGAGCTTCATGGCTGCAGCTTACTGTTGGCACCTGGAACAACTTCCTCTTGAGGCCGTGTCAGGCGCCACACCAGGGGCAAAATTGCCAGCGAACTGAGAAGTAGCAGTCCATTTGCAAACGAGGCTCGGCTTCTGCTGCCGTCGGCGCTGGCGCTGGCGCTGGCATCGATGACGTCGGCACCCCGGATCCTGCTCTCTTGGCCCCCCCAAAAAAGTGCTCCCCTGGGATTCCCTTCAGCTCAAAAGTAGGAAAACAAAGTCCCGACCCAGCGGCCCAGCGTCATTCCTGTTGAACCTTGCGCTTACTCACCCCGCTTCCCTGATGCACTCCAAACTAAAAACCCGCACATGGCCCGCGCATCCCAGCCTGCCGGTGCCGAGCTGAACTGCCAAAAGTGCCTCAGCTGACCTGCAAACCTACACATGTTTGTGTCACTCTTATCATGACCTGCGTCACGCAAGGCAGAGCCTTGGCTCTTTCAACCCAAAGGTTTAGTGCTTGGCCAGCCACGCAGCCGCATGCGCCGCGTGCGCCGCGTGCGCCGCTTGCGCTGCTTGCGCCGCGTGCGCTCCGAACTGGGACGGTGCTGGCGGCGCAGCCGGCGGCGGCGGTGGCGCAGCTGGCGGCGGGAAGTGGCCCGAAGGAAAGTGGGGCGGCCGCCACGGCACGGACTGCCTCAAACGGCACATTCTGGTCGCGAGAAGTATGCAACTTTGAGCGCTGGCGCCTCAAACAAGAACCTGGCAAGAAACGGAACTCCAAATTTAACTCTTCTCCCAAATGAAAACCTGTCATTGCAAGGGGCAAAGTCCTCAACAGCTCGGGCCCCGGCTGTGTCTGGTTGGGGGCCTGGGCCTCCTGACGCCAAGGGGACCGCGCAGCTCCGGGAAAAAAAAAAACGTGTCAAAACACGCTCAGCAACTTCCCCTTATATTCCCTGTTGGAAATGCCCCCAGCCTGCTGCCACATCTGCATGTAGCGCAGACGCTCCTGTTCAGACCTGGACTGTGAGAACAACGCCGCACACTGAACCAGGCCAACGGCTGCCAAAGATCTACCTCTTCAGCTTGCCGCAGAGTCGTTGGCACCTATTCTTTCAACGTCAATGTGTACCCACGTGATGAAAAAGAAAGACTCTGCATATGAGTGGGATTCCTCGATGAAAGCTGTGCCCAACCAACAAAACAAGCTGCACCATCAAAACAATTGGCCCGAACCTGCTGCCACTAAGAGTGGAAGAAAATCAGTACGGTCCAAACCGAATTATGTTCCAACTTTGACCTCTCAAATTGGGCATGCCTTCGAAACCCGCCTCGCTTCTTCCCGTCGCTGCTCCTGGCGCAATTCCCGAATGCTGCCGGTCAAACAGAGGAGTGCTTGATTGCGAGAAGTTAAGCAAGTACATCCGACAGAATTGAGCCACAAGTGAAAGGGACACTCATGCACCAATTCAGAACCACGGCAAGGGGAGCCATTGCAACCCAATAGATACTATTAGGAGCCATTGGGGACCACTAAGGTCCTACTATGGCTCGGCATTGGAGACACAAAGCCCGCCCAAAATCAGCAATTGCTGCGGACAAGCCAGAGGTGAAATGTTGCAACCTGCCCAAGCCATTCTCGGCCTTGGTGGCCAGGTCAGCCCTTTGGAAGGCGAACGAAAAGGTTGTCTGAACCCCCAGCGTCCGAGCCCTCAACAGCAACGCTAACCAAAAGAAGAAATTCATAAAAATCCACCTATAATGGTCGTGCAAAAACCTCGGAATGTCACATCCGCCCCCAGCGTTTCCATCCGTTCCGCTCATTATTCATGCGACAGTATGCCGATGTTCAATGTCAGAATCCGTTGCCCACATGCCCTTTGACCTGACGCGCGCCGTCCCTTGCTCCTCTGCAAGACGTGCTTGTTCTTGCAGCCGCGCTTGCTCGGCCAACATTTTCTGCTCTTCTATTCTCATCTGCTCTTCCAGTCGGCGCTGCTCTTCTCTGTTCCTTTGCTCTTCCAACCTTCTCTGCTCCTCCAGTTGCTCCTCCAGCCTCTGCTCCTCTAGCTTCTGCTCTTCTAACCTTCTCTGCTCCATCCTCTGCAGCTCGATCTGCCTTCTCTTCTCCTCCTCTGCCCGCTGCTCTTCTTCTTGCTTCTGCCTGCCGAGGCGACAACCACTTACCCTGACCACGGAAAAGAAGAGAGTCCAAAAAGTAGCAGTTGGCCAAAACAACTTGCGCGCTGCGCAGAGCAACGGTTCCCTTTCCTACAGGTTTGTATCCAGCACCAACTGACCACAAAAAGCCTTTGGCCTTTTCGTGGCTCATTGAAATATATAGCCCCTCCCACATGGAAGAGGTGGGCTTCTGTGAGGTTCTATGTAAGCTCTGCATGGGGGGCTTCATGTGACTCCACTCATCACCCAAATACATCTGGTCTCTTCAACAAGCAGCTGACAAGCTAACGCCTCCTCACAGCATAGCATTCACATTAAGACCGTTGAAGAGAGCTGGGTTGGACCGCATTTGTGCACATACATGCCCTGAATGGTAAAACTGCCACGTGTCTAAAGCTTCCCCGACAAAAACATGTGGATCCAAACTCCTTTTGGGGGGTATTTGACCTTGATTTTCCAAGCTGTGAGCCGCTGTGTGGGGTGGAGGCTCAGATTACATCTGGGCTGTCTGCCAAAGCGGCCCATCCAAGTCTGAAGTAGGCGTTGGGCTGGTTTTGCCGGCTGGTGATGTTGCAGGAGAAGCAAGAGCCACTTCTCGTTTGTCCTGTCCCTATTAGCTTGGCGGTGTCGGTCGACGCTCTCCTTCGGGGGGTTACGACATCAGGTCCGCTGGCCAAGTGAGCTTCTGCTAAGGATTCAGCCGGGGCCATTAGCGCGCCCCTGTCACCTGCAGCAATCCAAGCCGTCGCTGGGTGACAAACCTGCTCTGACCAAAATGTATCATCCCTTGCCAGCTTCTGAAAGCACACTGTCCAAGGAGCATCTTCTTCCCACCCTGCAAGAAGAGGTCGCCCTGCACCTTTGTCAGCCAAGAAGCCCCGTCGAAGCTTCTCCAGCCTCTCAGCGCGCCCCGTTTCATCTGCCAAGGATATCAGCCCCAAGCTTGGGGATATTGAGTTGTATTTCTCGTACTGCTGGAGGGACGCCAGCGAGATGATGCCTAGGGCCAAAGCCGCAACCCTCAAACCCTCCAGCACGCCAGCCAATGCTGGAAGCTTTGTGGGCCTGGCAATTCTTTCATCAGGAAGCTTCCGTCATGCAGGGGCATGTACGTGCGGAATTGCTGGGCGCGCATAGCTCGCCTGGAAAAGGGCGTCGAAATCCACGTAGGGGGCCTGTCCCAGCAGTATCACCCGCTTGTGAAGTGCTGCTGCTGGCTGTGCGTCGCTGGGCTCTTCTTCCTCCTTCGGTAGGTAACTGATCAAAGTGGTGTATCTCTGCATCCATCGCTCTGGTCCAGCAAGGAGGCCATCTTCAAAACGTTCTCCTTGACAAGCGGCTGGTACTGCGGGAGGAGTGTGACTTGGGTTTTCCCAAGGCTCGATGTCCATGAACTGTTCTTCAATCCCTCCATGCTTCAGAAAAGCATGTTTTCTAGCTACTCGCCACAGCAGCCCCACTTGTGCAGCGTGAGTGGGGACGAAGGCCGAACCATCGGGAAAAGTGGCTGCCGCACAAGCCTGTGCCACAATCCGAGAAGGAAGCGCGGCTAAGTGACGGATCTGGGAACCTGGGTCACCCACCTGTCCAACGAAGCCTGCCACACCGAAGCGGAAACACCAAAGTGAGTGATGAGGCCCTGCAAGTCGGCAATGCCGCGCAAAGTATCTCCACTTGGCAACGCCATGAACGCAAACGCGAGTAGAGGATATGAAAAATCCTCCACCAAAACATCCAGTTGGGCCTCCCAACTTGGGCCCAACTCAAATGGTGGCCCACCCTCCGCATCAGAGCTTTGGCTTATGTCAGGCAGTTTGTTGCACAAACTTTTCAAACACCCCCGCCCCCCAACTTTAGCTCTTTGGGGGCCCGAGATTCGGCCTCAGCTGCTGCTGCAACTCCGCCCGCAGTTCTTCCTCCATCCGCTTCTGTCGCTCCTGCTCCCAGCGGTGATGCTCCTCCGAGGCATTGACGGACCGGTTGAGCCTTTTTTCGAGGGGACCGTGTTTGGGGTGGGTGTAGCGTGGAATCGGTCGCCAGTTGAGGCTACACCATGTTCAGCTTCCCAATTGGAGAGCGGAGCCCGGTGGTTCGGAGTTTCCCATTTACCCTCGAGAACCAGGGTGCAATCCAAGCCAATCCAAACCACAAATTAAGGGTTACCTGGGCGTTGGAGCAAGCAACATAGCAAGAAGCTGTGGGTCTGAGTTTTGCTGAGGAATCCCAAAAAATAGGTTTTCTTTGCCATTCGGTGAGCACGACAATCTCATGAAAGGGTTGCTTGGGTAATCGTCCTGCACCTGCTGTTGCTGCTGCTGCCACTGCTGGAACTGCCTGAGCTGCGCACACCACATTCGAAACATCATGCAGTTCTTTTTCCGGCCGCGCTCCAACAGCGTGCAGCAGGGCCCACCATACCACCATATGAGACAGCGTCAAAATTACTTGTCTGGGGTATATTCATTCCGACGTTATCTTCTTTGTTTATTCGGGTTTTTGTCTCAGGTTTTGGGGGTATCGTTGCTTTGGACGTCCCGTATCGTTTTTCGAGCAAAGAACAAAGGCTACATGTCCATTAAAACATTCCTACACAAAGTAAATGACGGTAATTTTGAAGCTGACTCATACCACCCCAGCAACCTTGACACCTTGCCGCTCCCAAACCTTCCGAACGCGAGAAGCCTGAACGAAGCCCGAAATCCGAAACCCCAAACGCAAACTCCAAACCCGGCCCGCTCCCTCTACTCAGCCTGGCTGCTGCTGGTAAAGGTTCACCGGCTGCGGCACCGCGGTGGCCTTTTGGGCCGGCACTGCACCCCAGGCCATGGAGAAGCTGCCTCCAGTGATTTCAACGGCGAAATGAGTTGAAAACCACCTTGGGCGAGACTTTGACTATGGGACCCTTGGGTGGACATCATTTTGGTGGGGATGCTTCGAAGCGGTTCTCCATGAAAAGGATCAGAGCCATTGAGAACCATAGGAGAAGGGAAGGTTCTGACCCCTTAAAGGGCCCGAGTCACTGAGAGTCACTCATTTCACTAATGATCATCATTCTGAAGGCATGGCTCCCTTTGCCATGGGTCTGAATCAGTTGAATGAGGCACCCAAATTTTCAACCCCGAACCTCTTGACCGGGCACGATGGGCATCTGAGGCTCATTTTGGAAAAGCCACGCCTCGCTTGGGCGCTGGCTTTGCCTCCGCCTTCGGCGCCGCCTTTGCCTCAGCAAGTGCCGCGGGCGGAGCTGCGGGTGGCGGAGCTGCGGCGGGTGGCGGAGCTGCGGTGGGTGGCGGAGCCGTGGGTGGGGGAGCTGCGGGCGGAACCGCCGGCTCGGCCGGTGGCGGCGGGGCTGCGATCTCCTGCGGCAACGGCGCCAGAGGCGGCACCAACGGCCACGCCAAAGGCGGCGCCAGAGCAGGCGGCAGCTCAATACCTGCCAGAGCCAAGTGCTCGCTGCTCGTGACGGCTCGTGCTCAGCTAATCCGGATTGGCCATCGCCAGAAAGCCGAAACCTTGCCAGCCTCAGACAAGCCATGCCGTCGCCGACCAAAGGTCGACTTAGCAAATGTTAACGCGCCTGAGTGGCTTCCAGCTGGCACAGCTGGCGGCATTTGGCCAGCCCAATCCATGGCCTCAAAGCTGTTCGAGAACTTGAACCCTTATTGTAACTACTGCTTTGTAGTTCCTGATTGAAATCAACAGCCAAAATCAACCACCAAAACAAGAGAACTTCCCAATATGGCCTTGCCTGTCCATTGCTGCCTTACTGTAACCTGCATAGGCCGCAATCACGCATGCCATTCGCCCAGCCCGCAAGCAAAGAGAAGAAGCTGCCTGTGGCAGCTTCAGAACGTAAGGCAGGGCCGACGACCAAAACGGGTACCGAAGCCAAGTGTCTGTCTCAGTGCCCATGGAGGGAACCTGGCTCTGCGTGTCGAAACTCGCGGCGGCCTCCATTGCTGAATCTTTGTCCTTGGCTTCTGCAGCCACTAAATATGCATAAAAACAGGGCACGAAGCCGACGTGTCACCTTCCGCATGAAAGAAAGAAGCCCATGGCTTGGATGTGGAAGACCCTCACCAGCCAATTGGATGTGGGCTGAAGGATTTGGTCAACATCAATCCAGTTCAGGCACCCCCCCGCCCCCCCCCCCCCACAAGCCTCAACGCATGGATCGAATCAATGTCTGCAGCCAGTCATGCCCTCAAGTTGCTACAGCCGTTCGCTCTCAAAGGAAACCCAATGAAATAGATAGACGGAGCGTATTAGCTGGTGTGATTTACCCATAAAGCGCATCTTGTGTTCTGAACCTCAGAATGATCCCGAGGTGCCTTTGGAACTTGAAAACGAATGCAAAACTCGAACTGCGGACTGAGGCTCTGCATCTGGCCGCGTGGCGTCTGAGGAACTGCGTCTGCGGCGGCCTCCCACCCAAGTCCCCCCCCCTCCGCGCAAGAGTTCTTGGACCCTTCTTGGAAAGTTCTTGGAAAGAGTGGAAACCTTCCTGGTGGGTAGGGGGGCCTGTCCTTGGCTTGAACTGTTGAGCTTGCTACACATGCTGCAGCCACCAACGACCTAAAGTATGGCCCCGGCCTCTCTTGGCACGCCGCTTCCGGTGCTCACCTCAAAGCAAAGAGGGCAGCAAGAGCATAAGTTCACTCCCAAATGCCTTCCTACAATGCTTTCTTGCTGGGCACACTGGAGGACAGAAGCTGCGTCAACAGGGGTCATTGCAACGCTCGCAATTTGCTGGCCTCAAAGATTTGGTCAAACCCTATACCCACGCCGGCATCCTACTGCCTGAAAGCGGAATGATAATGAAAATCAAAGCAAAGGATCTTGTTCCAGACACTTCTCCAACGACAAAGAAAGGCTTCCTTCCCAACCAATGCTGTTTCTGGCACAGGATGGAGCTCAGGGCTCAGTGAAACAAACGGATTTGGATCCCCGGCCCTGGGGTTTTTGGTTCGGAAGCCACCGCCATCCAATTTCTTCTGAAGGTCGGCTGGGCCGCCCCGCCCGAGCCCCTGGAGGCCCTGGAGCCCCTGGATCCGGAGCTTCTGCGGCGCCGCCGCCCTGGGAGGACTTCGCATGCAGCTTGTTACCCCCCCCCCCCGAACGACCGCGAAGGCAATGGATATCTTTGCAACCGATCTCTTGTGAAAGGAACCAACTTCCTTCTTGGGGTTCTCTGACTCACCCCATGCCGGAAGCAAGTATTGTGTTTGTGCAGGGACAGCTTGGCGAGAGCTTGGCAGCACATGAAATGCAAAATATTGATCAAAGGATTCTGAGGCGTTCCCACGTCAACCAAAGAACATTTGTACCAAACAAAAATGACATTGATGAACATACGACCACTCCATTTTGCCCTCATGGAATCCCAACCACCCCTCACCCCTGCCCTTCTCACCCTGTCAGGCCACGAGGGCGGCTGGCCGTACGGCTCTTCTTCCGCTTGGAAGGCTTCTGCCTGAAGCCACTCACATCAACAGGAAAGCCCACAGGGCCAAAGAGGCTCAAATGGATCAAGAAGCAACCAGCTCGCTCGCGCCCTGTTCAAGGCGTATATCCTGACGAGTTGCGTCTGGAGCTCCGACATTCGGCGCTGCTCCTGATCAGAAAGCCGTGCGTTCAAGAAGTGCAACTGCCAACCCACCCTTTACCCCAACGCTTCCTCCTCGGCTTGCCGCGCAAGCTGCTGCTGTTCCTCCTCCTCGGCCTCCAATCGCATCCGCGCCTCCTCTTCCTCTTCGGCCTGCAGCCGAAGTCGCGCTTCCTCCTCCTCCTCACGCCACCTCTCCTGCGCATGATTTGAGCAGTAAAAAAAACGATCCAGCCCACACCCTGCTCCCACCCCCTTTCCAGAGACTGTCAGTGCCCTCTTCGCACAGCTACAACGACGCTTCTCACGATTGGAAAGGGAATGTTTTTGCCATAGGCGTGTGCAGGTTTCCCCTGGCCACGGGCGAGTGTTTGTTAAATTTATGGCGGCTTGACACAGCGGAGCTGCACAAAATGAACCTGGTCCAGCACCAAAAAAACACCATGACCAACCCCACAAAGCATAAGCCACAACCCCACCATCCTCCTCTTCCCTGCGAATGCGGTCTTGCTCCTCTTCCTGGCAAATGAATCTATTCAAATGGCAACCAGAAGGCACCCCCCTCAAAAGGAGTGCAGTGTCCTCTTGTGTCAAAAATAGTCTTTCTTAGTTTTGTTTTAACACAACACCCAAAAGGGGGCACCCTTTGCAACTCAACCCCCTGTTTCTTTGTAAGCGGTCTGAGCTGGACTATTGCCTTATTGCCCACTGACTGCCTCACGTCGGCGCTGCTCCTCTTCCCGTCGCTCCTCCATTTCGCGCATGATGCGCGCCTGCAAAACAAACGGCTTACAGGACAGCGCAGCGCCTTCCCATGATGGAAGCACGAGGACGACGAGTCTCAGGAAACTTCATCTACAACAGTCGGCTTCTGCAACGAACTGCTTGCGCAATACAGCATACCAAGCCGTGTTAAGCAAAGGGGCGTTACATACTCCATTTACAGTAAGGGAAATCTTGTGTTTGCCAGGAAGGGCATGCCCGCGCATCTGTCACAAACAACATGGCAAACTTGTGGGGGCGCGCTATGGCTACTATGCCGGGCGAGACTGAGACGCTCATGCCACAAGTTGAAACACAAGGGGCATGCCTTTCCGCAACGCCAACAACAGGCTTGCCACGACCCTGAACAGCTCGAGTCATGTGAGTCTCGAGGCCAGCACCTGCCTTGCATGTCGAAAGTAATGATGCGGGAGCTTTTCCATGTTCTGTTCACATCCCCGTTATCAGCTTCAGATGGTGTGGTTTCGACAAAGTGCACCACGAAATTGCAAAACAATGCGGGGATACACAAAGGGGCGCGACGAAGTAACGGAAGCATGGTGCATGCGGTGCTGCCTTTGGCTTGCAAGCGAATTTCTTCTCAAGCAACCAGTTGCTGCGTTCTCTTCTGAAGCACAACATAGCGGACCAGCGCACACCAGGTCACCTCGATGCTGGGCTGCGGCGAGATTACTTCGATACTCCAAGGCAAGATTTCCTCGAGTTGGGCTGAGGGTGAGTGTGCAAGCAGGCCATTCTTGCCGTAGTAATTAGGGACTTCCGGGGACCACATTGAATATGTCTTTCAAGTCCAAAATGGTGATCTGCTGGTTGCCTGACTTGTCATCCCGGTCAAAAAAGACCTGGGTGATAGTGGTGATAGATAGCCTTCCAAGCTGCAGGACACCACAGCATTGTCGTCTTGGAAGAAAAACTGTTGATATTATAGCGGTGCTGCACCTTGCCCCATGCCGTGCCAACCTTTTCCTGGTCAATGGCCCACCAGTTCTTGAGGTCGTTTACGGTGACGACCAAGCGTGGTTGCGTGGGCTCCGACTGCACATTCTAGTTTATGATTCGCCAGCCGCCATGAGAGCGTAAGTTGGACATGCTCGCGTGTTCAGCCTATTGCAGCGTTGAGAACGAAAAAACAAAAAAATGGCAACTCCCATGCATCAAGAAAAGACAACTCGCAATGCTCAGCTTCCAAATGTCAATCAAGCTCCCATCCAAGACAAGAGACAAGCAAAATCAGACACACGCTGCTTTGGGGCCGACTGCAAAATGCAGAGGCCGTGTGTGGTGATGCCAGGCGGGCAACATAGCAGTTCTCAAACACGCCCCTGAGACTCCTGGGCTGCATCAAGCCAACAATGCTGGATGTTTGAAGGAAACGCGATTGGCTTAGATGATGGCACCTCCAAAGGAGGGTATTCAAGGCGTCTTGCCATCTGGATGCTTGACTAGCGTCGGTGGATTCCTTGTACTTTGCTGGCAGCACCTAATGAAGGCGGTTACCGCAGCATCTCTGTCTGGGCGGGGAATGCCGAGGCTGTGTTTACTACTTTCATGGTTTGCAGGAGGTTTGGTTTGCTTTGTTCTTGGCTTTGGGGTGATGATTTGTCGATCTGCTCTCGACGTGGCGCCCCCGAAACGTGTGAAATGTCTTTGACGTGGAGCCGCTCGGCAAGCAACATCCCCAATATCGCAAAGTCAAGGCCTGCTCTTCTGCGAGGAAATGCCGCCGCTCGGCCTCCTTGCAAGACCAACGCGGTCGACATGCGCGGGGAATTTTCAAATACCTGGTGAAACTGAAATGGCCACACCACTACAGCAACATGCCCTGCGTAGGCTGACTCAACGCACAATGGCACGCCGAACAATCATCTGGGGTTTGCCGCCCATCGCTGCCCCTCCTCGGCTTCTCGTCTCAGTCTCTGAAGCTCCTCTGCTTCCCTTCTGAGCCGCTCCTCTTCCTCCTGTTCCTCGAGCCGCAGCCTCTCCTCCTCCTCTTCTTCACGCCGTCTCTCCTCTTCCAGGCGCTCGCGCTCCTCCTCCTCTTCCGCCTCCCTTCGAAGCTGCTCCTCCTCCTCCTCCACCTGCTTCTTCAGCCGCGCCTCCTCTTCAGCTTCGAGCCGAAGCCTCTCCTCCATCGGGCACGTGTGTCAACAAGCAGAGAGCCAACAAGCGGACCCTTCAAAGGGAAACCCTTTTACCAAAGGCAAGGACAAAGCAGTTGACACAACTCCCTTTCTGTCGACAAGTAACGGGGGTGCTTAACTCCCCAACGTGGAAACTGCGCCATCTACAAGCAGGTTCAGCATTGACCCTCTCCTCCTCCTTGCGCTGCTCCTCCGCCTTCTGCATCTCCTCCTCAGCCTTCCGCCGCTCTTTCTCCTCAGCCTTCTCTCGCCGACGATCCTCGGCATAAAAAAGTATGCAGTGCCCAAAAACCGTTGATATGTGTTGGGGTTGTGCTTCTTTGGGTGGCCCTTTTTGGGGTTGGTTTCCAAAACCGATTTACTTTAGGAGTTCCTCTCTCTTGACACAGCACCCTTTTGGTGCAAAAGGGCCCCCGCAACAACACACGCACACATAAAGTCTGAAAACCAAACTCGGACCCGGCATTGGCCCAACTGCGCTTAGGATGTCTAAGGCATAGAAACAAACTCCTTTGATTCCCCTTAAAGGGGGACCTAGACATGCAAGGTTGGCCTTTTGAGACCTGTACTACAAGTGGGCCAAAAGAAGGAAAACCAAAGGGGTAATTAGCTCGGTTCGGAACAACGGAGTGGGTGTCTTGTTTGAGGGCACCCTCTTCTTTGTGGTTTCCCACGGGAAACCAATTGAAAACAACCCATTCTAGGGCCCAAAAAGAAAGACACACGCGCACACGAGTCTTCGCAGTCCCCGCCTCCTTCTCCCGCCGCCGCTTCTCCTTCTCCGCGCGACGCCTGTCCTTCTCGGCGGCCTTCTCGGCAGCGGCAGCGGCCGCGGCCTCGCGAAGCAACTCTGCCGGAAAGGACGTGCAAGGCACTTCTCACATGGCAGGCCCTTTTTTTTAGTTGACATGCAAAGCAACAACCAAAAGCAAACCAACAAGTGTTGGGGATTTTAAGTTAAGAAAGGCCCACATTTTGGCCACATTGAAAACCACCTTTACCAGCTGCTTCGAGGGGTTTTGCATGTACCAGATGTCTTCTGAGGGGGGACGGCAAACGGAGCACGCAACTGGCCCTGTCATTTCAGCGTCACCCCGCTCTGCGGTACAACAGGAAAACAACCCAAGTCTGACTTTGAGAAATCCTAGTCTTGCCTCCGCCGCTTGCGCCTCACGCTGGCGTTCGGCCTGCGACATATGATCTCAGTAGGCTGAAGGGAAACAACCCAAGTCTGACTTTGAGCTCAAAACCATGACATCTGACTTTGATGGGCGGTTTTTGGAAGGGAACCTTCCCCATTTGGCTTCAAAAGGAAGTGGAGTTCAAATCCCCAAGCCACTGAAAAGCGTCACGTGAGAAATCTTAGCTCCAAGTCTTGCCTCCGCCGCTTGCGCCTCGCGCTGGCGTTCGGCCTGCGACATCTGATCTTCCGCTTTGGAAATCGCCCGTCGCACTACGAGTTGCAGTCTCCATGTGGTCGGTACCCGTCGCGGCACGGCACGCGGCACTCGCCTGGGCTGACTCTTGTTCCCGGAGGCCCACCACGTGCTCACAGAAGATGTGGCACTCCTGGATCATGTCACCTCATATCGCGGCTTCCAGCCAGGGTTGGTCGATTCAAGCCCGTTCAAACATGGGCATTTCAATTGGCCTGACCAGTGGACCGTCATTTAGGTGGGGAGCTTTGTCCACCAGTCACTTGCGGAGAAGTCCAAAACGCCCAACTCAGCCCACCGGAATTGAGGCGCCGGCCATCTCCTCGGGCGATCACAACCACATCCCTTCGGTGTCCCAAAGACTTTCCCAAGCTCGGAGAAGTTCCCATTCACCGCGCAAGGGCGCTTGCAAAATCTCACAGCTACTGATACTTGGAACCATTGACGAACTTTAAGGGTTGGCCTTAACCCTCCTATGGCTCCGCTTGCGAGTCGCCTCTGAATCAGCACTAGCGACAACCTAGAAGGCCCTGCCAACCTCTTTCCCGGCATGCACGCTACAAAGGGTTCCCCGCGCAAGAAAATGATCTTGCAAACAATTTGGGCCAGGGTGGCTCGAGGTTTGAATGCGGCTGGGGGGCTCATGCATGTCTCCCGAAACGTCGCTGATCCCAAGCTTGCTTTCTTTCAGCTATCTGGGCCCAGCTTCCAACATCCGTCTCATTCAAAGACGCTGCTGCGCGTTCCATAGCAGACACGTCCTGTCAAGCGGGCATGGTGCATGGGAGCGGCAGCAAGCCGAGAACGATTTGAAGGGGCTCGCTGGTTTAGGATTTCACCCAGCCCGTGCAACGTTCACACATTCAAGGCATGGTTTCTTCTGGGGCCGGCTTCCTGGCGATAGACTCTCTTTTGGAGCACACGTGGACCTGGCCAAATGCCATTACAAGTTTGGCCAGCCGAACAATGTGCTCCTAGAAGCAGGTAGACATTCAATATAATCCCTTCGTCAAGGTGAACAATAAATTACCCGTAGCAAACAAATTCAATGCGATGGTTGCCTTGTTGGCTTGCCCGAACCATCGAAAAACATTGCGCATTCACAAACCAACATGAACCTTGCAATTGTCAATCCTAATGACCGAAGTCATCCCCCCCGAAGTGATGGCTTACAGGGAACAGAAATTGTCGAACTAACGACCCCAGTCAAACGAGTTTCCCGCCATGGCCCCCAAGCAGACGCCCACATCTCTCCTTCAGCCTCACTTGGGCCGCGCGCCCAAAGCGGGCATCAGGCACCAGCCGCACAGAAGAGGTGCCGCCAAAGACTACGAAGAGGTACTTCACCTGCAGACTAAAATTTTCCCTGCGCTCTCCTCAGGCCTGAAATGGGTGTGTGTGTGTGTGTGTTTCCCGGTGTTTCCCGAATAATACGCAGCACAAGGGTTAAAGGCTGCCAGGAGCTGACCCACAGTCGTGCGTTTCATATTCATTTGTGCCCGAGAGAGTCGCACGCCCAGCCGTTGAGGAGTCAAAAAAAGTGGAATAACTAGCGCTCCTGTGCGTGAATGGTAGCCTTGACGGGCTGGTGTCATTTTGCCGCGCAGGCACGTAGCTCGCTGTGTTGGTCGTTTGCCACCGTCATTTGAGTGTCAGCAATGGTGCATTTTGCTTGGCAGCCGCGCGCAAGGGCTCGCTCGAATGTCATGTTCACTGCCAGCGCGTGTTTCGGCAGCTGCAAAATTGACTAAACTCGGTCAATATCATGCCGGCGTCGCAGCCCCATGATGTCCGATACTTTGGATGCGGTACGCACGTTTTCATGTCACTTTAAAGCATAGAGTGGCGATTTCGTGGCAGGCGCGGTACTTTGCAGCGTTGCGTTACGAACTTTGTGGCAGCGTGGCAGACGCAGCACCTTGATGGACAAGGCGTTGATTTTGTGGCAGGCGCAGTACTTCAGAACACGAGCGTAGAGCTGTTGGTCTCCCCGTGGGGGGGGGGGGGGGCGTTAGGACATGTGTTTGGGGGATGCCTTTTGGAGTGTCATTTGGGGTTGTTAGGATAGCATTTTGGAGCGTCTGTGGGATGAGTGTTTGAGGATGTCGTTGAAGATATCTTGTGGGGATATGTTTAAAACTTGCGGGATGCCGTCACGAATGTCATCGGCGATGCCCCCAGTGGCTTGCCTTTGGGGGAGGAGAACTCTTGGGATGTTTCTTGGGGAGATGCCCATGCACATATCTTGGGGGAATGTCTTCAAGCGCCCTTCTCATCAAGCTGCAACCCGCCTGCGGTTCTGCCCAGCTGCCCGGAAAGCCCCGCACCAGGATGAAGGACTCGTCAGGCACCTCGACAAGCGTCTGACACCAACAAACGCCAACCCCGACCAAGGTTCTCCCTTCCATTTCGCGCCTTCCTTTGTAATTGATGTTGTTGAGTTCTCCCGTTGCTGAGATGTTGTTTGTTGCTTTTTGTTCTCCGCGAAAGCGCAGGTCGCTTGTGACAGCACTTTTTCCGTGGTACTGCAGGAGGCCTGCATTGCTCCACTCGCGCCGTGCTTTTTGAACTGCTTGTTCAGCGATGCTTGCATTGCACTATGCATGGGTGTCCTGGAAGGTAGATAGACAATCATGCAAGTAAACGGGATGCTGCTCATGCCACGACCCATCACGCATGTTGAGTTTTTTAAAAAGTGGCCAAACGCTTCCAGGTTATGCTGACACCTGCCTAGTTGGACCAATCCTCACCCCAACGTGAGACGTACGTCAACGAGCGCCTCCGGGGGCAGGGTCGGCCCAGGATGCACCTGGGTGGAAGACTTCGGGCGCACCTCGCGGGCAAAACGAGTTGTTTCAACCATATGGTGTTATGGCACATCAAAAGGGAAGTCTGAGTCCAAGAGCGTGATTCTTCTCTGCACAGAGCTTGCAGCAACTCGAGGTGAACGTTTGACGGGTCCATTCCCGGAAAAGCCCCGACAAAGAGCTCCGCATCAAGGCCTTGATCTCAACCCAGAAACGCTCGGAATCCAGGGGCGGCCGGTTGCCGGCAGCCTGGCACACTCGACCAAGGCACAGGTCCAGGCAGTTTTTCCCCGGACGACAAGATTCATTCCATCGGTAGGGAGCCTCACCAACCATTTAATCCCTGTTTGCCACCCGCTAGATCAGTGGAAACCTCTAGACTCTAACCTGTTCAGCCAGCCCTGGACCCTGCCAGCAATGCGAAGCTCCATCAAAGCCTCCCCTTCCCAACCGGTCCCACAAGCCGAGGAAAGGCATTCCGCTGCCACAGCGGCATTCCTCTTTGCCTGCTTGAACGCTGGAAGAAAATTCAAGCCAAGTAATATTGTGGCCCCCTCTCGACTTCACTAGGCCATCAAACCCACAACCATGATTGAAAACAAGAAAAAAAGGAGAACAATCAATATACATCTATATATATATATATATATATATGTGTGTGTGTGTTTTGTTGTTGAGGGCAAAAGAAGCTAACTCATTTTGGGGCCTTAGGAATAAACGCCTAACTGGAGATCTCTTGCCGGCCTTCTTCTCTGCCCCGGTGCGCATATCTGCGCCAAAGAGCGTCTGCACGGCAGCCTCAGTCGTGACAAAACGAAGGAAAAGGCTGCTGCTGCGATCTCAATATGGAACCCAACCATCAGTTTCACACGCTCGCGAACATGCGCGAGCAAGCCGCGGTCCCTACCCCAAAAAACACGGCCCTGCCTGCGCTGCATCGAGGGAGTCGAACTCAGCGATGGCGGTGACATCAGCGCCACCATCAAAGACTTCCGGTTCCCCAGTGAGCGCACCAAAACGAGAGAGGATCTTCTGAACTCGGGCTGCCAGGCCTAGCGAGAGAGGGCACTCGGCTGCTTATCTGCTGGCAAATGGCATCCGCAAAAAACAACATGCGCTGTTTGTGTGTGTGTGTGTGTTTGCATTTGGGCGTGGCGAGAACGTCGTGGAGAGTGGAGCGAAGCAGTGCGCAGGGCATGGACTTTGGAAGTCTGTGTCGATTGTGGAAATTGCTCTGTGCCTGCTCGAGCACTCTCAGCAACCCAGCTCTTGGGGAAGTTCCTCATGAGCACCTGCGCAATTGCAAGACCTACATGCTGCATGCTCCTAAAGACAACTGCCACGTCTCTGTCCTTAAGGACTTCTCTCTTCAACGCCCCCTCCAGCTACAGAAGAACTGATGATTCTTCCAGCCCGCTCCGGTCTGACTGCCTTGGCCGCTGCAGATGTGGCGGACATGGCTCCGGCACAAGGCTGTGACGAAGGCGCTGCTTGTCACGAGGGTCTCTCTCTACTTATCACCCCTGCTTGCCTCCGCAGCAAAAGATCTCGCGCATCCTGGCCCTGGTATGACTTCTGGCAAGGCTCTTGCCAAGAGAACTGCAGCCTTCTCACGGCCCATCTTGCCTCGTATTTTGCCCAACTCAGCCTGCGTTGTTATGCGGGCCAAAACGGCCATGAAAAGCACGGAAACAGACCGGCCTTGGACACACGCCGGAAAATCCCAGCTTACTGGCTCGTGGCCTTGAAACATGCCTACGCTCCAAGTGTTGGCAAGGCAACTCTCCCATGCGCCTTGGAAAGCTATCTGTCAGAGTGCCTGCGCCTGGCTGGAGCGAACAGGACTTGAAGCGAGATCCTTCCTCGAAAAGGCTACAGAAGGAAACAAGAGCCCCGCCAAAGCTACGACCCATTTGCGGCTCCAAACCCATCCAGGCTGAATCCGCCCAAGCAGAATCACTGCCGCCATCCAAATCGCCATGCGCAGCAAGCAGCCCTGTGGCGCTGCGCTGGAACTACACACCGTGGGGTGCGTGTCTAACCCTGTCCTGCTGGGCGGCAAGCAGTACTTGAGCCAGCTGCAAGCCAAGCGACAACAATACACATCAAGCAGGGCTAACCGCGACCTCCACCCTCCCATGCCGCAAAAAGACTTGGACCCCATGGAAACCTATACTACCTTTTCGTCGACATGCAGTGATACTTCGTCGCCCTATGGTGCTGCCAGCAGTTACAAGGAATTTGGCTGACGATTGTCGAGCATTTAGATCGTGCCTTGAAAGTGCTGCCTTTTTGTTGCTTTATATAACATACAGCGTGCTTGGCTTGAAGCAACCCAAGACCTGTTGTGCGCCTAGGTCCAAGAAGTGTGTTTTAGAACATCCATGTTGCTTTGCTCACCTTCGAGCCCCCGCGCCACATTGAGGCAGTTGGACAGGCCGCGCCTGGGCGAAGCTTCAGGCCGTTCCATCAAAAAGTCTCAACTTTGGGGCACCGGCAGGCTGCCTTGTGCAAGGCATCTATCTCAGCAAAGTCCGCTTCGCCTGTTCTCATGTCCAAGCCCCGCTCGCGCTCCGGACAGCCGGAGCCGAACCGCACATGAGCTTGAGTTGCCCTCCGGTCCAAAGGGCATGACATCGGGATGAAACAACATCTCACAGGCGCACGCCTGCTAAACGAGCTTCGTCCTGCCAGTCCAAGTTGCAAAAGCAAGAAAGCAGGCCCTTTTTTCCCTTTGGCAGTCCTGCAGCCACTCCAGCCAAAGTGACTCAGGTAGATTCACCAAAGAAGCAGCCTCCTTCCGCCTGCACTGTAGCCCGCAGTCTTCCAACATCCCTGCGATTCAATCAACACAAGTACGGCATGGACAGCCTGCATGCATCTGTGAAAGTTTACCTCTGCAAAAGCCTGCAGAGAAGACGCATGCTCTAAAGAGAGAAAAGAAAATCAACTAGAGCAAACAAAGAAGTGTTGAAGTATTCGTCGAAGTGTTCCGTTGTCTTACACCCTGCTGGAGCTCACAACATACTCCCCTCAGATTGGCATGGAAGCCACAACACCATCAATTGTAAAATAGGGGAATCTGTTCTTGTGCCCCCTCTTTTTCGGGGGGTTCCTGATTTCGAGGCTACGGGTAAATCTGCGACTGTGAGAAAAACGCACCGCCCCCTGACATCCCAGCGGCGCTGCGCGGAGTCGCTCTAGCTGGGCGCCCTCCCGCAGGGAGCTGACCAGCGCAGCCTCTGCGTGGCCCGTGTTTTGCTACTTGTTTTTGTGGAGGGTACCTGAGGGTACCTGCTTTGCGGCTCAATTGCAAGGGAAACCACACAAAAATCCCACTGGTTTGTAAGTCTCCCTGCATCATCACGCATGCGGAGAGAGAGAGAGGGAGAGAGAACAAAAAATGCGCCCATCGTGTTTCCCTCAATTCTCACAAGTACACTCATTTCTCACAAGTCAAATGCGCCGGTATGTCCACGGTTATCCGCGCTGCCAAAAAGCACTCGCAGAAGCTATGTTGGATTTGTGGGAATTTAGTGTTTTTGGGGTTTAGGGCTTGTAGGGCTTTTAGAGCCTAGGTTAAGGTTTTTTCAGGTTTGCCTATAGGGTTTTTTAGGTTTAGGTTTTGTAACGTTGAGGTTGTCAGTTTTGTGGGTTTAGGTTTGGGTGTTTTAGGGTTTGGGGCTTTTCGTGTTTTTAGGGCTTAGGTTTAGGGTGTTTAGTATTTAGGTTTAGGGCTTTTAGGGTTTAGAGTTAGTGTTTTGAGGGTTTACTGTTTCTTGGGTTTAAGGGTTTTAGGTGTTTAAGGCTTTGGTTTCGGGTTTGTAGGGATTAGGTTTCTTGTGCTTTGCTGTTTAGGTTTACGGCGTTTAGGGTTTAGGTTTAGGGTTTTTGGTCTTTTGGGTGTTTAGGGTTTAGGCTTAGAGGGGGTTCAGGGTTTAGATTTTGGGTTTTTGGTGTCATTTGGGATTTGGGTTTTTCGGGTTCAGGTTTGGCGGGTTAGGCTTAGGTTCTGGGATTTTGGGATGGCCCAAAACACTGTAAAAACCAGCAAAAAACGACTTGTGAAAAATGAGGAGATATGACTCGTGAGAAATGAGGGAATTCGACTTGTGAGAAGTGAGTGCACTTCCAGTGCGATGGTGCTGACCGTCGGGTCCCCGTAGGGCCTGCCACTGGTGAACACCACACCACCAGGCCAAGATGCATGAAGCTCTGTGTCGAGAGGGTTCTTCTGCAACTCCTCGGCACCCGTCACTATGGCGCCCCAAAGGTCATCAACGCAACGAAACCGGTCGCCCAGCATCATCATCATCATCATCATCAACAACAACAACAACAACAACATGGCGACAGCAGCAGCTTACCGCGACCATCACCTGCATTGAACAAGTGCAGGGTGTGTAGCCCTTTAGATTTTTGTGGCCCTCAAACGCCTGCAGCTTCGAAAAGGATGATTCCAAAGGAAGAGACGCAAGACCCATAAGAGCCCGTGCCATCTACGGACAGAGGGGCGAACAGAACTGTTGCGGTGTCTGATGCTGACACTGCTGCTGCTGCTGCTGTTCTGTGGCTCGCGCTGTTGCGGTGCTTTTCGGCGTTGACGGTGGCAGTTTCTTCTTAGGAGGAACGTCACACCCGAAGCTCCCGGCGAGTGCTTGAGCCCCACGCGTCGCGCAACTGGGCTACGAAGCTCTTGTCGCTGGGCCGTGGCGCCTGGGCCGAAGCGGCTTCGGCGTGGCGAATGGCTAGAATGCTTTCCGACCCTAACCCGGAGGAGGACACGGGGCTTCGCAACTAGTAGTCTTCCAAGACCCTGTCAGCTTCCCTGCTGGTTGGAGGGAGGGTAGACTTGTTTTGTTTTGAGGTTGATCAAAAGGAGAGAAGTGCTGTAGCCATGCAGCCCGAAGCACGGGCGCCCAGCCTGGAAACCCTACATTAAAGCCCCAAGAGCGCGCCTCACAATCAGAGTCTCCTCCGCTCTCCTCTTCGCTCTCATCAAAGTCATCCTCCATCAGCTGTTCCTGGAAGCAGGCCACTAGGTTGGCTGGTCGGCGAATCAGTTGCTGACCAATTGGCAGGTTTTGGTGGTTCGAATCCCCGGCCTGCGCAGCAAAGGCAGCAAGTTTCTCTGGAAAAACTGATGTTGTAAAGCTGTGTGCATCAAACCTGCATGCTCCAGGTCTAGAGTTGCCATGTTTGATACCTGGCACAACCTCCCATGCCAAGTCATGAGTCATTTCTTTGGACATCGTCACTCACAGCTCCAGCATTCCGAGCCAAAACACTGCATGTCAGAGGCTCTCTTCAAGGTGCTGTCCAACAAGTCCATGTTGCCTTCAACAACGCGGACTTCAAGAGCAACCTCGTGCCACCTCTGCATTTTCACTCCGTCTTTGGCCGCAAACGGCAAGGCGTGCCCTGCATCAGAAGCCCAAGGAGAGTGCTTTGTCAACCTGTTTGTTGGGGTCGACTTTTTTGTCCTTGGCAGTCACAAGGTGCGGATGCGAACGCTATGACATTACGCAAACAGAAGTTGAAGGACGAAAACACAAAAAGAAAAGCAAGAAGCCAGAACAAGAAGCCAAAGCAAATCGCCAATGCAAGGGGACGGCAAGACAAGAAGCCAAACCCCAACCATGGGTCACGTCTTGTGCTATCCTACCCGCAGGCAAGGGGCAGGTGTGGCCGGCCGAGGGCGGTCCTGCAATCAGGTCAAAGTTTGGCTAGGTCTGATTTCAGCAAAGGTCTGATTCAGGGTGGGACGGATCTCCAGAAGGTTCTACTTCCAACCTCTTTTAACCCACCCCAAGGGGCATCCCATCCCCGTGCCCTTTCACACACAAAATGCAGACATGTAGTAGACCACCCAGACGAAGACGGGGATCTATCCCAGAACTGCCTTCATTTAAGCGCTTGGATTTTGGCCTGTGGTGGCCTTCCAAGACACAGCCATATTTCCCCCGTTCTGTACGAGTCAACGCTGGAAGCAAACCAGAGATTTCCGCGGGTATCTTTATCGCGACAAAAAAAGACCAACTCTAGCTTCCGGTTCATGGCCTCAGCCGCATTGCCTGCCGGAAATCTGCACAAACACCCGCAACAGTCTCAGCGTACGCGGTTTGCTGTTTGCACACAAAAGCAAACAAATTGAAATGGAAGTCAAAATAACTTTCACCATCTTTCCGGGGTCGGTCCTTCATTGGGTCTTCAGCATACCACTCCTCTGCCCCACCATCTTCAGATCCTTGATGGATAGCAATGTTCCTCTAAACGGACACTCTGATGAGATTTATGTGTTGGCGGACGGATGGAGATCCCCTGGCAGACTGCACTTTGGTTGACTAACCCACGCTGCATGTCGGCAGCAGAAGCTGACAACCATGGCACATTCTAAAAAACATCTCAAGAGAGAGACAAGATGGGCAGATGACAGATTCTCCATTTTAACCCTGACTCCCATGCATTGTGACGACACATTGCCACAGGATTCCTAATAATGTCAGCCCCATCATGCACCTGGTACAACACGTGATCCACGGTGGACCAAATCTGGCTGTAGCCCTTCGCGCCCAACATGCACATTGCGAGCAGAGATGTGCATGCAGCAAAGCCGAGATGCAGTGAACCCAACAAGACAAGGTGCCCAGCTTCTCCGGGCACTGCGGGACTTTGCGGTTGCCCTTGTCCCAGCCAAAGGCACACATGGTGCTGCACACCTCAACACCTGAGCAAGGGCAAAGTCACAGCGTCAACAGATCATGGCAGTCCTCCCCCTCCTCACCCACATAAAGAGCTGTACCGTCCGATGCAGCTACGGCACACTTCCCGCCACGCGAGGCGAAATGTTCTTCGCCTCAGTCACAGCAACTCAACAACACACAAGCTCGCTAGAATATGCATTTGTTTATTAAGAAAGGAGACAAAACAAACTACAGCGCATCGTACTCCACAAAAGGATAAAACTGGCAATGAAACTGTACTGTGTCTGCTGGGCCCCCGGGCAACACGCGAGACAGTTGGCCTCTGTGGATTCTTCACAGCAGCGCTTGGTCTGCAGCCCCGAAAAGCGCTCGCGCATGTTGATGGCCTCCAGTCATGAATCCGAAAAACATCATTCAGACAGGCATCTGCTTCGCGATGCAACTTCCCAGGCAAGATGTGACCCAACGCTACTTGGATCGAGAGACGCAGGCCAGCTGCTTCTCCTCAAAGGACGTGGGACGACGTGTAGCAGCCAGGGGCATGTGATTGTCCTGAGCAGCCATTCAACAGTAGACAAAAAGCGACTTTGCGTGCCATAAAGCGTAAATTAAAAGTGGATGGAGTCAACATATATATAGTGCACCCTCGCGGTCAGCCGGAAAGAATTCGCCTACATCATGTTGCTACGACATCGTGCGCCTGGAATGCGGAACTGGAATGCACGCTGATTCGTCGAGCAGGGTTCCAGCAAGTGCCCAAAACAAAGCGCGAAACGACCGTCAGCATCCTCTCATCCTCATCCTCATCCTCATGATCATCATCATCATCATCATCATCATCATCATCATCATCATCATCATCATCATCATCATCATCATCATAATCATAATCATAATCATTATCAAATCATATCCATCATTACATCCATCATCATATTCATCATCGCATCCATCATCCATCATCATCGAAGAAGAGTCACCGTCACCATCACCATCACCATAACGATGATGATGAAGGCGATGACGACGGGTTCTGGCACCCTTCATCTTTGCTGGAAACCCTGCATCCAAGCTGCCACATCAAGAAAGCCTGCCAACCGATGTGCCCGAAGCGCCCACCTCAGGCACAAACCAAGTGTTGAACATGCCCAAGGAGCTCGTCGCATTTAAACAATGGCGTGCCAGACCTCAAGTCGCAAAGGTCAAGGGCTGGGTGATGTTCCTGGCCATGAATCCGACATGCCTGCATGCGCGGAGCCAGTCAACCGCATACAATCCGCTCCTCCTCCAAGCCGTGCTGTAGCCATCGGGGGCACCCCAATGCGGGCATGCTTCTTATGCTTGCCTCATGTCTTATACAACCTGAGTCCAAAATGAAAAGGGAAAGACTTGTTCAAACCGATCTTATAGACTTGCGTGTGGTATTTCCAAACCCAACAATACATCTCAGGGTTTTGGTATCTGGTCCCAGGTGTTTTAAAGGTCCGAGTTCATTGTTTGAGTTATGTCCCTGCCGGGATTCACACATCTCATCAAACGCCATAACTGCCACGATTTGTGGTGCCCAGCGCTGTGCAGCCGAAAACCACGCAAGAGTTTGCCAAAGACTCGTGTCCATAGGTCCTCCTTCCATGGCCGGATATGTGTTCGTAAGGGTATGCTTAGGGGGGCCACTGCTGGTGGGGGGACGACACGGGGAGCGACGTGTCAGCTAACAGCTCGGGAACGGCCGCATCAAGGTTGCAAGCGCTGGCCAAGAAACTGTGGAACACCGCCAATTTTTAATTATTCTTTTTCTCTATGCCTTTTTCCATCCAGCTGGGGTGAGACACAAGGGACCTCACGCGTCCGGCGCCCAGCGGGCGTCGCACATGACGTCGGCAGCGGCGTCGCCAGCGTCGGGAGGAAGCGAGCTGAAAACTGCCGCGAGCGCGCCCTGCGCCGCAACCGCCAGCAACTGCCCGTCTGTTGCCTCCTGCAGGGCGAGGCCGGGCTCGGCGTCGGCGCGGGGCCGCACCGGGCTCACAAGCGTCGCGTCGACAGCTACCTGTACGCCGCCGAAACCGGGAAGCCCGTTCGCGACAACCTCGAGCCGTCGCCCGTCGGACAACGGCATGCCGAGGTTGAGGTCGCGAAGGAAAACGTTCGTCGCTACCCGCGCGCCAGCCTCGCGACAAACCCGGGCCACGGCGCGCTCGAGCGGGCCCGCGCGGCGAACAAGCACGCCAGCGCTGGGGCGGCAGCGCGGCAGCGGCAACGCTACGCCCGGCCCAGTTTGAGACAGCAGTAAGGCCCGAGACGCTGGATCGAGTTCGGAAAATAGCGTCTTGAGGGCCCTCCGGTCCAAGTGGGCGCAGGCGGCTTGCTGCCAACCTTGCGGCGGTGTCCCTAAAGTACTGTGGCTGGCTGGCGGGGAGTTCATCCGCCAGCGCCGCCCACGGCGGCGCAGCGAGCCGCAACACCTCCTCTCGCTGCCGCGCATCGATGGCGTGGCGTGAGAGCGCCTGCTGGGCTGGCCAGCCCTGCGAGCATCCACGCCAGGGAGCGCGGGTGCCGCGCGCCGATAACCGGCATGGAGTCGGCCCAGGACGCCCAGTACGCCGCGAAGCGAGACGCTGCTGCCGATCGGAGCCCGACCCCCCCGAACCGCGGCTGCGAGCTGGCGCGGGTCACGGGCGAAGTCCGGGTCACCAAGCAGGTGCTGGATTCACTGCGTGACGGCGTTGTCCTTCCTCCGCGTACGCCTCCGTCTCGGCGGGCGGGAGCACTCGCAGCAAGTAGTTGCTGCGCGGCTGCGCGCGCAAGAGGAGGATGAGCCACGCACTATGCAGGTGGGGCACAGACGGGATGCGCTGTAGCAGCGCATCGTGCCTGAGGCGCACGTCCTGGAGGCTGCGGGCTACAAACTCAGGATGCCCCACCGGCGTCAAGCCCTTGATCTGGAGCGCGCGCCCAATTGCCTGTCCAAGCGGCGGCGCGCGCGTCGGGGGTAAGCGTGAGCAGCAGCGAGCTGGGTTCCTCGCCCGCTGCATTCCATGCCCGTGCCTTGCCCAAGTGGAGGCGGACGTTGGCGCGATCCCACAAGGCGATGTTTGGGCATCGAGAGTGGCCCGGTGCGATCCGGCGCGCTCGTCACATAGACATCGTCCAGGAACGCATAGAGATCCTCGCCGGGGCGCGCCTCCCTGTGCGCCTGGAGAAGAGCCGAGTGCTGCCCGAGGGCATACAAAGCCGGCATGAGCAGGTCGCCCTGCTCGCCCCCTTCAGCCTGCGTTCGCGACCCCGTCCTCATCATAGAAAAGGGGTACGTGCTCGGCTCAGCGTAGAACTGGGCTACGAACGGCAGGGGACTGCCAGGCGAGGATCGCACCGCAGGCCGTGCAACACGCTGGCCCGTGAGATGTGGTCAAACGCCCCGACCCCATCCACAGTGCAAGCAGGTCTCGCGGCGACGGAAGAAGGCGGACTCCA